TGTGTAAGCCACCGGGTCCGGGACGTGAACCGCGGTCGACTACGTGGGAGTCCAGTGACATAGCCATTACGCTAACTGCTGGTTCCCTGGTTTCTCTTCTTATAAAAAACCATGTGAAGCACTTTACACTGTGTGGGGCTGGCAGGTGACATGGTGGTTGAGGGCGCTGGACTCCCACATGGCTGACCGCGATTCGAGTCCCGCACCTGGCTGCTTGCTTTCTCACTTTCCATTTCTCTCTCACTCTGTCCCTCGCTAGTCAAATTAAAATAAATTAAATTTTAAAAAATAATTCTTAAAAAAAAAAAAAAGTCCAGGACAAATGATGTCTCCTTGAAGCCCTCCCTGGGAAAAGCCAATCCCTTCTCTGCTTTGTGCTACAAGCATTCTCCTTTTCACCTGTGTTTATGGGTCTGTCTCCTGACCCCCAAGTCTGTAGCCCCTTGAGGTCAGGGACTCTGTCTGACTCAGCACTGTGCAAGGCACCAAGTACTGAATGAAGATATGGTGGGTGGATGATGTACAGGACAAGAAGCCAGTGCTACTGCTGCCGCGTGAGGCCTGCAGACAGGGCTGCAGTCAGATCGCTGAGGGCCAGTCCCAGGCTGCTCCAGGGGCAGGGCCTAAAGGGCCAGGAAGTTGCTCTGGTCTGAGCCCTAAGCTGCCCTCTCCCTGCACCTAGACGGTCCCTCCAGCATTGACACTTTCCCTTGCAAAACTAACCCATTTCTGGTTTACAGCGAGAAGGGGCGAAACATTGATTAGAGCCAACCCAGGCTTCTGGGGGCCTACCTCTTGGGATTCAGCTTAGCTGCCCTTAGCGGGAGAACCGCAGACACACTTATGAGGAACCCAGTTGGCAGCACCATCCTTAGAGCCCCATCCAGAGTAACCACCTTCCACCTGCTCAAGGACCTTAAGCTGGTGGTAACAGCCTGAAGCCGGTAGAACTGACGGCTCAGCGCCACCTGCTGGTCACAGAGAAGACCTACTTGATCCCAGAAAATTGAGGCTGCTGTCTAGGTTTTCCATCTACTCTTAGGGAGATCCTCCCAGCCTTAAAGGTTATTTTAGAAAGAAACTGGAAACTTCCAGACCTGGATGGGCAGCTGGACCAAGCTCTTATTGACTTCCCTGGGTTGTTTTGTCCATCTGTGGTGCCTTTAAGGCAGTGGTCTAAACCGGATATGGAAACTCCCCAGAGCTCCCCTTAGCCCAGCAGGAACTTCTGTGAGAAGTTTGTTCCTGCCAGGACTTACTCACCATCATATAAGAGCAAACAGAGCAGCCCGAGTTAGCCCTCACCCAGTCTGCAGAGCTGACTACTCTTGGCCCCCTGGGAAGGGGAAGGGAAGGACCACGTGTCACCGTGGCCCAGAAGTAGCACAGTTTATAAATGAGAAGATGGTGCAGAACTGGAGGTGTCTTTGTGCATTTGGGTGACTATAACAAAATACCAGAAATCGAGTGGCTTGTAAACAGAAATTTATTCTCATAGTTCTGGAGATTGGGAAGTTCAAGATCAGTTACCAGCAGATTCCAGAAAGGGCCTTCTTTCTGGTTCGGTCTGGCCACTGGAACCTCACGTGGCAAGAAGTGCACATGGGAAAAGCTGTAAGGGATCTTTCTGGGACCTTTTATAGAAAGGGCATGAATCCCATTTATGAGAATCCACTTGCATGACCTAATCACCTCCCAAGAATCCCACCTCCTAATACTATCACCTTTGGCATTAGGATTTAATAAGAACATCACAGGTGGACATAAACACTGAGTATATAGGCAGGAGGTAATTTGCTAAGATCTCACAGCTAGTGGGTGGCAGGCCCAAGATCTGGACCTAAGTCTGTCTAGTGCCAAAGTTCTCTTTCCCCTGCCAGTTCCAGAAATCTGAGCTCCAGTTTTTAGCAGGAATACACCTTACTTAACTGCCAATACACTGCAGAGAGACAGTTGTTTGCAGTCTAAGAACAAAAGAGGATCCCGAGGTCCCAGATTCAAGGCTGACAGCATGCTCGGCTGTGGTGTAACAGTCTAGATGATGTCTCAAACGTGGCAGGGCCAGAAGGACCTCACTGGCAGCTTCTCTGACCCCTGTGCATAGTGAGCTCACCACCTTCTAGATGGAATCCTCCATCCTCTCCGTGTCAGGTCGTTGTCATCCAGGTTATTCTCCCACAGTCAATCAGATGGGGGTACATCTGCATCCGAAGTCACATGAATGGTGTGACAGGTGTCCTGGGCCTCTGGCCTGAGCTCCACAACCGGAGGAAGCCATGCTGTCCTCTTCCTGTTGTGACACTCTTTGCTAGTCTGCAAAAACCTCCCCAAACCAGCCATTCACACTCCGAGGTCTACATGAGACCCAATAAGGTATAGATCTGGCCTTTCTGCTAGAGAGAATCAATTTTTGCAGGACTCTCTTTCCACAGGTGGCAACCTTCCAGCTCTGTCTTTCACTTGAGCTACCCACTTGCATCCTTTCCTGGGGAGAACTTTTCTGGGGAACTTGCGTAGGTCTGGCTGCTCACAGGCCTGTGGGCGCCCAGAGCCTCTGAGGTCTCCCCAGGCCCAAGCGTCAGATACTCTGTAATAGCATGATGTGCAGAAGACATGGGGGAAGAAGACACATATTCTGCGTATCAGAGTCAGCCTGGGGCAGGTCCGAAGAACCAGAGCTCTATTCTAGCTTCAAAGCAGCTAGAGAGGAGTCACAGTGGGACGAAAGTCAGAACTGGGTGAGAAGTGAGTCGTGTTGCAGTGCTGTCTACATCCCCAACAGCCTCTCATCCTCTGCAGTTCCCTTGCCACGCACCCACCAGAGTGGTCTTACAAGGGCCGGGGCATTCCCTCCTGGGAGAAATAACTCCAGTGGTTTCCCCATCATCTTCTGGGTCAAGGTTCTCAGCCTTGGACTTCAAGCTCTGACTGCCTTCTTTCTTTAAAGGAATTATTTAATTTAATTTAATTTAAATTATTCATTCATTCCTTTTTAACTTAACAAGAGAGAGACACACACACACAAAGGGAAAGTGAGAAAGCAAGGCATCAGGTCTGGGACTTGAACCATAGTCAGCATGTGGGAGTGTCCAGTGCCTTAACCACCATGCCAGCCACTGGTCCTCTCTAACTACCTGTCTAGCCTTACAGTCCCCTGTTCTTTTCAGGACTCTAAGCATTCACCCCTGCCTCCCTGGGAAAGCTACACATCTTCATGGAGAGGAAAGCAGGTGGTCCCTACACCCTATTCTATTTCCACTCTGGGAAGGGCCGACTCTGGAGTGACAGGAAGGACAGGTTGCATGGACTTGCCAGTCTAGGTCCTGATCAGCTGTGTGAATCTCTGCCACTCCTCTGACCTGGTCCTTCCAGGCACTGACGCTAATGCATGTGACGGGTGGTACAAAGTGCATTTGCAACGCCCAGTGAATTACTTTCCCAGGGCGAAGCAACCGTGTGCAGGTGCGAGCACAGGACAGCACTGCCCAGAGCCTCCTTCAGCTCAGGCACAGGCTGATCCTCTCCTGGAAAGTCACGTGCTTTTCCTCCCTGAAGTGCTATCAGCCTCTGCAGCACAAATGTGCCCCCAACTCCTCCCCCCAGACCATCAGTCCCAAGCTGTGCTTCAGGCACCGAGCAGCCTTGCTTCTGTTTGTTCCGTTTGATCAATTTCGGTTTTTCTCATAATGCTGTGATGATGGGGAAAGGAAGAGTAACTTCAGATTAATGCAGAAAGGAGTCAGCGAGGTATAGTTCTGACAGAGTCTTTGACTATTTTTCAAAATTTCTCCTGTGTCTTTGGATTTTTATCCATCGAAGTCAAAGAATGCCAATCATACCAGAGTTCTGCCTCCAGGTGAGCAGCTGGAAACAGTCTGTTTCTGCTGTAGTTACGTACAATTCTCTGAGAATGTTTGGATCACTGCCGCCTTTCTGTGTAAGAACTGCTGCCATTGTTCAGGTGGCTCCTGCATCTCAAAGAGCAAATGCACGCATCATTTCCCTCATAATTAACGAGTCCCTCAACTTTCAAAACAGAGTTCAAGGCCTGGCGGCGGAGGTGCAGGCCGGAGGGCACCAGTGCACAATGCTGGAGCCACATGGGAGGCCCGGGTTCAGATTCCTGGTTGGACCGAATATACCAGGCGCTCCTGCATGTACCTGTGATCCTGGCTAATGAGGAGGATCGTGGCGTGGCAAGGCCCTGTTAAGAGCATCTCTCCTTCCCTTACTCTCTCAATAAATAAATAAATATTAAAAAGACAGAGTTAGAAGTTTAAGAGAGTTATTAGGGGTAATTCATGTGAAAAATAAGGAGGAGAGGGAGTAGGCAGGGAAAGCCTTTAGACCACACTGCAGGCTGGCTATGAAGGGAAAGGCAGGACGAACGCGGGAACAGTGAGTAGGAAGAGCTTCAGCCCACAACTCTAAGAAAGTCTGAGCTTCCCACCAAGGACCTCTTGCCTTGCTCAGGCTGGAGGAGTCTGGGAAGAGCCAGGAATCAGCTCAAATTCTGCAGCAGATCCGAGATGCCATGGCTAGCGCCTGTTAGAGGAGTGCTCTCCTCACAAGAAGCTTCTCTCAGAAGAGGTCTCAGGAGCTCTCTATGACTGCCCAACTCCATTTGGTCAAAGCTCAGTTCCTGAGCTGTATTGGCTAGCTTCTGCTGTGTATCAAGCCAGCCCAAAACAGAGGTGGCTTCTTTTTTTTCTTTTTTTTAATTAGATTTTTGCTATAGGGCACATGTGCATGACAGAGAGAGACAGAGAGACTGAAAGCGAGAAATCAACCCCCCAGAGAGGATGGCCACACCACAATCCCTTCTCCTCCATTCTCCTCTCAGGATTTTGGGCATGCACGCACACGTGCCTGGTGTGAGTTTCAAGCCTCTGGGTCTGGGACTTGAACCGTGGTCAGCCATGTGGGAGTCCAGCCAGATAACCATTACGCCATCTGCTGGTTCCAAACTGAGGCTTCACAAAAATAAGTATTTCTCATGTATTGGAGAGTTGGCTGTATCAGATATGCTGAGCTCAGAGAGATCTGGTCATGCAGAGCTGGAGACTGGCATCTGATCTAGGCCGATCTCTGCCAGAGCAACCTGGCTCTGTTTCCTGTGTCTCTCATCCTCCAGCGGGCTTACCTGAATCAGCAGGATAAATACATATGTAAAAAGGGCAATTCTAAGAATTATCTCACAGGACCACAAGGTGAAGTCCTACAGTAAAATATCTGCAAGCTAGAGAATCTTCTGAAAGACCCAGAAGCAGGGAAGCTGGTACAGTTCCAGTCCCAGGTTGAAGAAGGCCTTCAGGAGGCCACACACCTGCGATCCCTCCAGCAGCAGCCAGTATGAGTCCAGAAAACATAAGTTAAAGAACTTAGAGTCTGGTTGGCTAGAGAGGTACAGGGCCCAGGAACTGGCAGGAGCAAATGGCAGCCAAGAGCCAAGAGGAAGAGTAGCGTTGGAGCAGGCGGAATGTACAGCAGTGGAACACAGCATGCTCTGAAAGGAGAAGGGGAGAGAGATGGAGACAGAGAAGAGAGGGAGAGAAGAAATCAGAACCCCACTTTCTCTGTTTATCTCTTCCACATTCCCAACTGACTGGATGCTGCCTACTCACTTTGAAGTGGGTCTTCCTTTCTTAGTCCACTGACTCACATGGCAACACTGTTACTTGTCTGGTAACACTCTCTCTGTGTCTCTCTCTCTCTCTCTCTCTCTCTCTCTCTCTCTCTCACACACACACACACACACACACAGTTTCATCAGCTTTCCAGGCATCCTTCAATCCAGTCAAGTTGACACCCAGAATTCACCACCACAGTATAAACTGGCATGCCTTCACTTCCATCTCACTACACTGGCTGAAGCAAGTCAGATGACTGGCAGACACTACAAAATGATGTCCATGACATCAGACATGAACATAGGGGACCATGAAGGACTGAAGCCTCCTCTGTAAACTATTGCAGGATAGAGGCTGATCATAAAGGCTTTCTTGTCTTTTTCAAGGAGTATTATTGTTGGATGTTAAGGTTACTATGATAGTACCTGGATATCAGACCAAAGAAAGCCAAGTAATATTACAGATAGCACAAGAAACATTCTAAAACCAGTTTATAACCAGTTTTCTCAATGGTCTCAAACCAACCAGAAGATTCCATGAATCAGCTGGCCAACTTTAAGCATCCTTTTTTATTTAATTTAATCTAGCTTTTCTAAAGCATTTAGGATGAGATATATTAGCTACTGCACAGATTTTTGCCTTGGCAGGCCCATAAATAATCAAGGGCAATTTATTATCCAGAACCATCTTAACTAACATACTTACTCTGGTCTCTTGGGCCTGTAAAGCATGAGCTATTTTGTTTGCTAGTTTTTCAAAGATAAACATGTTTGGAAACATGTATTCACTTAGAAACATCTAGCAAAGGTTAGAAATTCTTAGTCAAAACAGTGAAATCTGGTGGTAAGGTGTTCCATTGAGGTATTAACAAAATGTGAGCAACTGGGGAAAAGAATTCCTCTCTCTGAGCCATAGTTTCTACATATATCAGAACAACAATGCAGCCTGTACATAGTTTTAAGGTCTGGTCTGAACTAATAAAGTCAGGTTCAATTCACAGTGAGATTTGTACAGTGTGGAGAGATAGGAAGAAGTTTTCCAGGAATCTCCCCAGAGTCCCAAGCTAACATATGGAGATCAGATGGGAAAGTTCTTCCCCAACACAACATTAGAAAAAGCCACATACCACAAACTCACACCATATTTACAATACTCCAGCATCGGGCCGGCAGGTGGCTCGGTGGTTAAGGGTGCTGGACTCCCACATGGCCAACCAGTTTGAGTCTTGGATCTGGTGGCTTGCTTTCTCACTTTCCATGTTTCTCGCTCTCTCTCACTCTGTCCCTCTCTGGTCAAATTTAAATAAATAAATAAATTATTCTTTAAAAAAAAAAACTACTCCAACATCAGTAATGAGAACTCCCCAACATTATTCACTGGTTATGATCCTTGAACTCCTGCAGCCATCTCGGAAACACAGGGATAAATTTTACTTGAGAATTCCTTACCTTTTCCAAACACATGAAGACACCAGTATAATCAGTCCAATAATGATTAAAGAAGGAATCCACCAGACATGTGTCCTCTCAGATTCTGCAAAGAGAAAGAAAAGGACAACATCAAGAGTAAACCTACTGGGAGAAATCTACTGGCAAGGGCCAAAGAGACCACACAACTGCTGGTAATATTTATGCAGCTGTATGTCATTTTCTCTGTCAGAGATCTACCAACCAAACGTCTGCTCCATGTCTTAGCATCTCCATTCTTATCACATATGTCCTCACACATCACACAACGTATTAGCACTCACCACCGACACAGCGCAGACCACATACACATGCCACATGCATCTTCGAAGCTTCTCTACTCCTGTTCCATTGTATATCACTCATACACCTGCCGCCCAGACAGACCCTCATACCATGCAGACATGTTTCAATGTAATGCTCCCCAGGCCCCACACATACCCTGTGTGCACCCTTGCATACACCACCCACTTACCCCTAGTCCTTTCTTCCAAGAACAATTCCTCTCTCCCATCCCGGGATCCATTTGGCACACCCAGAATACACTCCCCAGGGCCCTGCTCAGTCCCTGCCTTCCTTACTCCTCTCAGCTACTGGGAGATGCATTTGACAGCAGGGTCATCCTCACTCAAGACCAGAGTCACTACCAGGAAAATCAGGATATGAGCTCCTAAAACCCCAGCCCACCAACAGAAGGAGTGTGCCTGGAGAAAGCCTGGGTATCTACCATGCCTTTACATCTTGGGATACAGCCCATAAGACAGAACTACCAGGCCAGCCTCTACCAGAGAGCAGTCTACAGTGGACCTGGAGCCACACTACATGGGCTGTTGGCAGGGCTGATCCCTGGTCCCTGACAGCCCTTTATCCTCTGAATCTTGTCCCCATTTCCCCAGCAGTCCAAGCAATATGCTGAAGCTGCCTTGAGCTGACAGATAACCTTGGTTTCTACCTGACAACTAACATCACACTCTCTACCTATCAAGCCATCTGCCCTCATATGGGGACCTAATCTGGATTGCTAACTCTGGGGCTGAGTTAGGCCAAACCCTAGCTTGGTCTTTCCAGTCTAAGCTTTCTCTCCTTCTCCATCATCCCTAAGTAGAGACCCTAGACTGACTGGGAACCAAAGACTTTTATTATATCCTGTCAAGGTGAAGAGTAGGGGAAATGTCCAGGGAGACTCTGACCTATCAGAGCCATGGAGAAATTAAACCTTAAGGGGGTGAGCAAGGACTTGTGCCATACCATACACTGGTAGATGGTCCCATTATCTCACAAAGAGGGCTTCAGCTTGGAGCTGCTAGTGATATTAAATATGCCATCCTCATTCTTGATGATGTGATCAATGATGCCCTCAGAAATTTCTAGATAGTGGGGAACCATCAGGGTCCACTTTTCCCACGTTATGTTAATGGCTTCCGGGTAGAACCCACTTGACTTACCCACAGTATGATTGTCTTCATTACCTTTCACCACAGGTTTCTCTGGAAACAATGCGCTGGTTGGATGAGCTGCCAAAGGAGAGAAGGCATACAGAGTTGGGCCTGCACCCAGCTTCCCTTTTATCCCTCTCCCAGCCTATGGTGGAAATGGCTTCTAGCACACCTACACATATGTGCACTATTGCCCCTGCAGCCAGACAAGACAAAGAATATGGGATGCCCACTCTTTTAAAGATGGGGACTCTAGTTAAGGTATCTGTACCAGGACCAGCAGAAGGCATAATGGCTTCATCACTGAACTGCCATGTGGTCAACCATGGTTTGAGTTTCAGACCTGGCAGCTTAAAACTCATGCTGGGGGTGTTTGTGTGCATGCCCAAAATCCCATGAGAAGAATGGAGAAGAAGGGATTGTGGCATCCCTTGGGGGATGATTTCTCTCTCCCTATCTCTGTCTCTCTGGCAAGCGCATGGACCCTGTACCAAACACCTCCCCTGAAAAAAAGATATCTGTACCAAAATATTTACTGCAGCATTATTCACAATGGCCAATATTAGAAATCAACCAAAGTGTCTATCAAGAGAGAGGAATGGATAAAGAAAATATACACATACAGTAGGGTGACAGTATAACAGATAATGACCGAGAGAGTAACAAAGCAGACTCTAAGAAGGGAAACTCGAGGACAACAAGCCTAGTACATAATCGTCCTAAATAGTAATAGCAACAGTGTATGGAGAGATGGTAGCTATGGAGAAGTAGAACAAAGGACAGCAATGCCACAAGCAATGGGAGAGAGCAATGGGGAACACTGTGCTATTAGGTACATGTACTACCTTCCCATGAAGCAATCATTGTTTGAAAGTAGACTTAGATTATTTGTAAACATACATTTCAAAATCTAGGGAAACTACTAGAAATATTTTAATTGATATAAAAGCTAGGTGAGAACATGTAACATATACAATTATCATTTAAAACCAGAGAAGTTGGGAAGGGCTCAAGATAGCTGACTAGAAACACCCATCATGGTATCTCTCTGGGAAGAAAGGCTTAAAACTTTGAATAAATATACTTTCAGCAGAGGAGTGACGTGAGATGGAAGAAGAGCAAGAAAAATATGGTGGTTGCTTCTGGAACGCTGAATCTGTACTTGGAAAGGCAGCGAGGGACTCAATCATCTGAATTCAGTAAGGCTCTGGAGCCCTCCCTTGCCATGGGGGAGAGTCCTCTCTTCCAGAACTCCGATGTCCACACTCTCACCTCAGACCCCAGCACTCCCCACCTATAGAAGAGCAACAAAGCTGGCCTGGAGCTAACACACATCCCAGGGGAGTACGTGGATGGACCACTGCAGAGAAGACACTGGGCCTCCCACCCTACCCCTCCTCGAGCCACAGGAGCTGGGCAATCTTGGAAGCTGACAGTGGTTGGAGCTTGGATTACGATCAAGACCAGGCGACCTGGCATCTCCACCATGTTGTGGGAGTGGAGGAAATAACAGAGAAGAGACTGTGATCAGGAGAACTGGGGTGAACACCCCCAACAGCTGAAGCCTACCAGCCCCATCACATTAAAGACCAAGAACTCTGTGCATCCCCACTTCCATCAGACTGTGGTGTACAGGAGCACCCCCACAACAGAGACCAAGGAAGCCGAACCCTTCCTCCTGACTGGCAGACAGGCCTGCACTCTCCCTCCACTCAGACTGAAGTCACAGGGAGTGGGTAACTGTCCCAACTGAGGCCAACCCCAGCACAGCTTTCCAGGACCTCCCTGAACTGCAAGTGTGGGCAAAGGAAAGGGAAGGTACCTGACAGAAAAGGGGGCACCACCAGTGATTCCCCCTTCAGGTCAGTGGGGCACCACCACAAACCACCTCCTGATCCCAGAGGGCATGACACAGTCACCTCACACCTAGCACAGCTGTCTTCTGGCCCCTCCTAGACTATTTTCCAGGGCCACATTGGGGTTCTGAGGACCACTCCATCCCCAGGAACTGTAGGCGGGCTCAGCAGGCTCCTTGGGCAGACAGACTCAAATCGACAAAGGCTACCTCTTGACTCTTCCAGATCGCCTTTCCAAGACTCCATCTGAGTTGTGAGGGCTGTGCCGCTCTCAGCTATTCCGTGCAGGACACACAGGACCTGCTTCCTGGGTCTCACAGATAGGCTTGCCTTCAGCCCATCCAGACAAACTTGCCAGGTCAGCATCCAGGCCCTGAGGGCCGCCCCAATCCTGGGCCTTGCAGACAGGCCATAAAAGTTCTGCCTGGACTGAAAGACTCAGCTGGCATCCAGCTTCTCCTGGACCAGTGTGACAAGGCTGCACCTGGGTGGAGGGCCACGCTGACTCCATTGGAAAATCTACTCTATAAATCAGGAAAACGTGGACCTCCCAGTTAGTGTAATGGCTATGTCACTGAACTCCCATGTAGTCGACTGCGGTTCGAGTCCCGGACCCGGTGGCTTAAACTCATGCTGGGCGCGTGTGCATGTGTGCCCAAGATCCTGAGAGGAGAATGGAGGAGAAGGGATTGCGGTGTGGCCCCCCCCCCGAGGCGTGATTTCTCTTTCTGTCTCCCTGTCGCTCTCTGTCTCTCTGGCGAGCATACCCACCCTATAGCAAAAACCTCTCCAAAAAAAAAAAATCAGGAAAACGTAAGTACTTCACCAGATGCCTAACATTCAATGCAGGGACATGGGAAATACGAAAAAAAAAAAAAAAAAACCCAAGGAAATATGTCTCTCCCAAAGGAACACATAACTCCTCACTAATAATGGATAAAATACAGGAAATTGCAGAGATGTCAGAAACACAATTCAGAATATTGATTATAATGAAGCTCAATGACATGCAACAGAAAACCAACAAATTGCAGGAGATGAAAAAAAACTCCTCATCATGTAATAATGAGGAATTACATATTGGACTGTTGGGAAAATGATGACCCATTTTTTCACAGAAAAATATTTTTAAAAAGGGGACCAGCAGATGGTGTAATAGCTACATCCCAGGATCTTGGGCATTCACACACATGCGCCCGGCGTGAGTTTAATCCGCCGGGTCCAGGACTCAAAACCGCAGACCCAGTGGCTTAACCTCACGCCAGGCGCGTGTGTGTGCATGCCCAAGATCCCGAGAGGAGATTGGAGGAGAGAAGATGGCATGGCCATCTCCCTGAGGGGGTGATTCCTTGCTTCCTGTCTCTCTCTGTTTTTCTAGTGAGTGCACACACCTTATAACAAACAAACCAAAAAAACCCCATGGAATCTAGATGTAGACCTTACACTTTTCACAACAATTAACTCAGAATATATCATAGACTTTACATGTATATTGCTAAGTGAAAAAAGCTAGCCTGGGAAGGCTATGTACTAGATAGTGACAATTATATAATACTTTGGAAAGGTCTAAAGTGTAGACAGTAAAAATATCAATAGTGCAAGAGGTTCAGTGGAAGAAGCAAACAGGCGAAGAACAAAGCGATTTTACAGCGTGAAAACGGTTCTCTATAACACTGTAATGATGGATACAGGACAGTATGCTTTCGCTAAAACTATACAAATGTACAACACAGAGTCAACCTTAAGATATGTACATAAACACACACACACACACACACACACACACACACACACACACACACACCATTTAGGAGTTCCAAGGATCCCAAGAAAGAATGCAGATTGTGACAAGCACACCCAACTTTATTATCAATGTATGAAACAGCCTCACTGCGGGCAATGGAAGAAAGGTGCTGATCAAGTAACTTTGTTAATGAATGAAGTCTCTAAGACTAAAGGCAAAGGAATCACAAATAAGCACAGTACTCTAAGTAGTACAATTGTTTCTCACAGGGGCGCAGGTTAACAATTCTGCTATTTGGAATTAATGAAGCAGATGGAGAATGGTGGGAAGCTTCGACTGACGTGGGAGTGTCAGATTAGCAATAGGAAAAGCTAGCACGGTCCACGTGGTGATAAATTGAAGTGGAGATATTAAGAACTCGTGTTGAATTCATTTGCATAGATACAAATGATTACACACAAAATGTTTATGGAGGAGCACACACACATACTTTGCTCTATCAGCTGAAAAAGAAGCAATGACAGCCCAGTAGCACAAGCACCCCTAGTGCCCAGAGCTCGTTTCTAAAATCATCTTCCAATCAGAAGGATCAAGGCTCCTTAGCCAAGTATCTGATTCTAGGATTAGAACAGGAATTATTCAAGCAAGATGACCCTGGAGCATCTTACAGTGCCAGAAAGTAAAACGTACTGAAGGAACACACACAAAATGACCAGGACATGTGAAAGGGGCACGGAAGACCACCAAGAGAGCTCCCGATGGCCGAGACGGAGCAAGCTGCGCCAGAGAATACACAAAGCGGCATTAGAGTAGAACCTAAGTATAAAATAAATATCCTTCCATCTCTAATGATATAAATGAAAGATTGAAAGCATTAATAAATGGGGGGAGGGGAAGAGACAAATCTCCTCTGCAGAAGAATTTCAAATAAATGTGGATATTCCACCCCAAAGGAGGCGGTGCATCACCTCCTGCCCCTTGGGCGTGGGCTACACTAGTGACTTTGTTTTGCAGGGTACAGGATGGACACAGGAGGGAAGAGTGACGTTACAGTGGAGAAACCAGATGACCCCACGTCATCAGGTGATCACAGTCAGCATCAGTCGTGAATCATGTGATCCGATGTGATGCAATGAAAGGGCACGCTCTCTCCAAGACTGCTCTCTAAAAACCAATAACCTCAATCTAATTATGAGAAAAACAGCAGAAAAATTCCAGTAGAATGGCATCCTACAACCTAGCTGACCAAGACTCCTAAAACTGTCAAGGACATCAAAAACAAGGAAAGTCTGAGAAATTGTCACAGCCCAGAAAAGCCCCAAAACACATGACAATGCAATGTAACATGGTATTCTAGATGGGACCCTAGAAAGGAAAAAGGTTAGGTAAAAACTAAGAGAAATGAATAAATGATGGGCTTTAATTCACAGCAATATGTCAATATCAGTTCCTTAATTATATCAAATGTATCAAATTAATGCAAGATATTAATAATAGAGGAAATAAGGTAGAGGGAGCGATATGGGACCTCTCTGTACTGTCTTTGCAATTTTTCTATAAATCTAAAACTGTTCTTAAAAAACAAAGTAATATTTTTTTAGAGAGAGAGATTTTTGTAATAGGGCTTGTGTGCTTGCCAGAGACAAAGAAAGAGACAGAGAGAAAGTGAGAAATCACTCTCCCCCAGGAGGGATACCCATGCTTCAGTCCCTTCTCTTCCATTCTCCTCTTGGGATTTTGGGTATGCACGCACATGCGCCTGGCATGAGTTTGAAGTCGCCACATCTGGGACTTGAACTGTGGTTTCCCATGTGGGAGTCCAGTGCCCTAACTACCATGCCACCTGCTGGCCCTAGTATATTAATTTTTTAAAGCCACTGTTAGTTCAGGTTCTCAGAGAAAACACATCCTAACAAATATACCTCTCCATTTGCAAAATTAATATGTACGAGGAATTCATTCTTACGTACAATTATGGAGGCTCAAAGACATTGCTCCCCTCCTACAGGCTGACTTGTGTCCCCCTAAAATCCTTATGTCTTCCCCCAGAATTTGTAGTTTCTGTTTGTAACCATATTTGGAGGCAGGGTCTTTAAAAGAGATAATGAAATAAAATGAAGTCATTAAGGTAGGCCCTAATCTAGTCCGACTGGTGTCCTTATAAGGAATCAGGACACAGACACGTGCATGGAGGAAAGACTACATGAAGGCACAAGAAGACAGCCAAAGGGAGGAAGCTCAGAAGAAACCCACACATTTGTGCACAACGAACCTCTGCTGTTGAAGCCACCAGCCGGTGGTAATTTACTACGGCAGCCTTAGCAAAGTAGCGCACCCACTGCCCTTGGGCACTTACCCAGAACGTGCAGCCAGACTCTCCCCTTTGCCTTCTGAGGGGTGACGACCACCTCACATCGGTACTCTCCTGTTTCCCACAGCTGGACATCAGGCAACTGCAGTGAGGCATCCCCTGTCTTCAGCCTCACTGGAGACACGCTGGCTCCAGGCCGGAATACCGTTCGGTGTTTTCCAAAACACTCAAACAGCTTAACTTCCATTCCAGATTTTGGACTCTTGCGAAACCAGGTGATCCCTATAATCTTGATGTCCAGGAGTGGGGAACCAGGGATCTTGCAGATAATGGTGACATTGTCATTCAGAAACGCAGTCTGAGTGTTCCCTGCCATCTCCACTTCCAGAGAACCTGTGGCTGTAAGAGAACTCAGTTATGGGAGACCTGTGGAGAAAACAGAGATCTGGCACTCTCAAACACCATGTAATCAGAAACAAACAACATTTTGGGGGTGGGAGGAAGGAGTCAGTCAGTACACGGGCCCTTAGCTCACAGTCGTTTATTAATCCACATGAGATCCCTTCGACTCGGTTCTTTTTTTCCCACGATTATTTTGACTACCATGCGTCCCTTACAATTCCATATGAATTTGAGAAGCAGTTTACCAGTTTCTGCAAAGATGTCAGCCACGAATATGGCTGAAATTGCATTGAATCAGCAGATCAATTTGGGAAGTACTGCCATCTTGACGATGTTAAGTTTTTCAAACCATGAACACCTTTTGGGGATGTGCTTGGTCCGTTATTGCATTGCTGATAGAAATACCTGAGACTGGGTGATTTATAGAGAAATAGAGTTATTTAGTCCATGGTTTGGAAGTTAAGGTCCAGGGGTCATCTGCTGGTGAGGCACCAATGTAGTAGAAGGCAGGATCTTGAGTAGAGTAGCTGTCTAAAAGTTTCTGTTTGATTTTTCTTTACAACTCTACCAGAACTCAACTGTGGGAGCCCCACCCTAACTACCTAATCACTAATCTCCTCGTCAAAGCTCCATCTTTTGACACCATAATTAAATCACATTTTCACTTACCACCTTTGTAACATAATCAAATCCCAACATGTGAATTTTGGAGGGACAGCCAAACCACAGCGGCTGTGACTGCAAGTGTGTGTTCTCCAAAAATCTTAATGTTGTAGTCTAGTCCCCTAGATATGATATTTGGAGCAGGGTCTTTGGGAGGTGATTAGGTCACAAGGATGGAGCCCTCATAAATAGGATTAGTGCGCTCCTGTAAGAAAAAGAACACAAGAGAAACAGGTCTTTCTCTCCACCCTATGAAGATACAGCAAAAGGTGTCTTTCTGCAATGCAGGAATAGGGCCCTCGCTAGAAACTCAATCAGCTGACATCTTTATCTTGGACTTCCCAGCCTCCAGAACTGTGAGAAGTAAATTTCTGTTTAAGCCGCCAGTCTACACTATTTGGTATGGTGGCAGATAAGAAGGATGTTTTTCCATTTCATTTATTTAGATCTTAAATTTCTTTCAAGAATGTTTTTTACAGTTTTCAAAATATACGTTACGTGTTTTTAAAAATTTCTTCCTAAATTATTTGTCCTTTTTGATGCTATTATAAATGGAATTGCTTTCAGCTCCTTGCAAATGTATGAAAATACTACTTATACTTTTTAGTTTTCATTTCCTTCTCCCACCAGGCAGTTATTGAAAGCTGTTTAATGTCTACATTTCTGTTCTCTTTAAAAGCAGCCTGAGGCCAGGAGGGGGCGTGGTGGTTACCATGCTGGACTCCCACAAGGTCAAATGCTGTTCCAGTCTGGGACCTGGTGGTCTGCTCTCTCACTTTCCCTGTCTCTCTCTCTCTCAGCTGTTCTCTTGGAGTGCACATGCCCTGTAGCAACTTCAAAATAATAATCATCATCAAGATAAATAAGATTAAGTAATTCTTTTTAAAAAAAACTCTTGTTTCTCAGTCTTATGGAAATAGCATTAAGTTCTTTGTCACAACACTTCTGGCACTGTTTTCAAGATCTTTCCATACTGCCATGTGTCCCAGTCCAGTCCCTTCTCAGTTCTTGGTGAGCACTCGCTTTGGGCTCACACTCCCCAGTCTGGCACCCAGAGGGTCTCCTAGATTCCTACATCCCCACCACCACCACCAGGCACCCGGAAGCCTATTTTGGTCAAATCTAACAAGTGTCAAGTGCTGTTGCATTGTTTAATTTCTATTCTTCTAGTTAGTCATGAGCTTAAATTTAAATCTCTGTTTCAGCGTCTTACTTTCCTGTTGGATAAGTTAGGCAGATGTGTTCAGAGTTCCCCCTAAAGTTACAAAACGTTTGAATATTACCTGTTCTTGGTAAAGACCTTCTAAAGCGGGATGCCTCCTTGATAGATAGATGGTGGGGGGGGTTCTTCTCTCTAGCTTTTCCTGTTTTCTTCACAGTGCAGCATCGCCACGATGCAACAACGGGCCGCTGAGCGAGGCACCCACAGGGAAAAATCCCGAAGCCTATTTAGGCCGATCTAAGCCTCAAGTGCTGCCGCATTGTTTACTTTCTCTTCTTCTAGTTTTTGTGAGTTTAAATCTCTCCCTCTCTTGTGCTTCAGCTTCTGGCTTACTTGTTGGGTAAGTTACGCAGACTTGTTCATCATCGGAGTTCCCCCAAAAGTTACAAAACGTCCGGGTATCACCACCAGGTTAGCTCTGTCCCCTCCTATTCTTGGTAAAGACCTTCGTAAAGCGGGATGCCTCCTTTCTATACAGACGGGGGGTTTTCTTCTACCTTTTCCTGTTTCTCTTCACGGTGCAGCATCTAGGATGATGCAACAACGGGGCCGCTGCGCGCCGACGGCATCGCCTGGGCTCGGACCGTGCCGGCGCCGCACCGCGTCCGTCCGCTGACTCCAAACGCACCTGATGG